TTAACCAACTTGCAGTTGAGCCTGACCAGAACTTTCCGGTTGAGTCATTTTCAAAAGTTTCTCACGTCCAGCCTGGAGCGACTAGAGACTTGAATGTTTGTCCAGTTTCAACCACAGTGGGGGTCTTCAAGCGTCCCAAATGCCCAGCAAAAAGAATAACAGACTGATTTTGCAGGAATTAACAAACTTGCAGTTGAGCCTGGTCAGAACTTTCAAGTTGACTCATTTTCGAAAGTTTCTCACGTCCAGCCTGGAACGACTAGAAACTTGAAAGTTTGTCCAGTTTCAACCACGGTGGGGGTCTGCAAGTGTCCAAAATTCCGAGCGAAACGAACAACAGACTGATTTTGCAGGAATTAACAAACTTGCAGTTGAGCCTGACCAGAACTTTCAAGTTGACTCATTTTCGAAAGTTTCTCACGTCCAGCCTAGAACGACTAGAAACTTGAAAGTTTGTCCAGTTTCAACCACGGTGGGGGTCTGCAAGTGTCCAAAATTCCGAGCGAAACGAACAACAGACTGATTTTGCAGGAATTAACAAACTTGCAGTTGAGCCTGACCAGAACTTTCCAGTTGAGTAATTTTGAAGTTTGTCACGTCCAGCCTGGAGCTACTAGAGACTTGAAAGTTTGTCCAGTTTCAACCACAGTGGGGGTCTGCAAGTGTCCCAAATTCCGAGCAAAACGAACAACAGACTGATTTTGCAGGAATTAACAAACTTGCAGTTGAGCCTGACCAGAACTTTCAAGTTGACTCATTTTCAAAAGTTTCTTACCTCCAGCCTGGCACAACTAGAGACTTGAAAGTTTGCCCAGTTTCAACCACAGTGGGGGTCTGCAAGTGTACCAAATTCCGAGCAAAACGTACAACAGACTGATTTTGCAGGAATTAACAAACTTACAGTTGAGCCTGACCAGAACTTTCCAGTTGAGTCATTTTGAAAAGTTTCTCACGTCCAACCTGGAGCGATTAGAAACTTGAAAGTATGTTCAGTTTCAATCATAGTGGAGGTCTGCAAGTGTCCCAAATTCCGAGCAAAACGGACAACAGACTGATTTTGCAGGAATTAACAAACTCACAATTGAGCCTGTCCAGAACTTTCAAGTTGAGTCATTTTCAAAAGTTTCTTACGTCCAGCCTGGCACAACTAGAGACTTGAAAGTTTGTCCAGTTTCAACCACAGTGGGGGTCTTCAAGCGTACCAAATGCCCAGCAAAAAGAATAACAGACTGATTTTGCAGGAATTAACAAACTTACAGTTGAGCCTGGCCCGAACTTTCCAGTTGAGACATTTTGAAAAGTTTCTCACGTCCAGCCTGGCACAACTAGAGACTTGAAAGTTTGTTCAGCTTCAACCACAGTGGGGGTCTGCAAGTGTCCGAAATTCCGAGCGAAACAAACAACAGACTGATTTTGCACGCATTAACAAACTTACAGTCGAGCCTAACCAGAACTTTCAAGTTGGGTCATTTTCAAAAACGCATCATGTCTCTTGGACGACCTTTGGCACAATAACATAACAGGAAACACACTGGGACTTACCGATAGTTGGTTTTTCCAGGACACCGCTGCCACCCAGTGGTGCAGTTCTTCTGTCTGCACATGTAAGCAGGCTCGTCCGAGTCATCGCCGCAATCATTATCGAAGTCGCACATCCACAACTTCGGAATGCACTTGCCATTTTTGCAGGCGAATTCAGTTTCCAGATCGCACTTCCTGTTGTTGCACATCGCAGGGTCTTCGTCCGAACCATCTTTGCAATCCGCATCTCCGTCGCACTTCCAACTGCTGAGGATGCAACGACCATTCGAGCTGCAACCGTTGCAAATTGCAGAATTAACCCAGGTGCTTGCTGACCCGCACTTACCGGCACTTCATTTCCAGCTCTGGACACTCTTTGTCGCAATTCTCCTCGTCTGAGTTGTCGCCGCAATCATCAGTGCCATCACAAATCGTGGCCGAAGGCGTGCAGTTGTTGTTCTTGCACTGGAAGGTGCCGTTTCTGCACTGTCTCGGAGGACAAGTTTCCGGTTCGTCCGAGCCGTCTTTACAGTCCTTTTCGCCGTCGCATCTTCAACGGGGAATTCGCCAGTCACACTGCTTAGTTCAATTTGGTTGAATACTCACTTCCAGAACCAGGGAATGCACTTTTCGTCGCTGCCTTTGCACTGCCACTGGCCTTCAGTGCAATTCGCTATGCACGTTTTATGATCTGGGCCCAAGTAGAACTGGTTGGGACACGCGCATGTAAAGCTCGTCTCCCCTTCTTCGCCGTACCTAATTTTACTGTTCAAATTTGTGCTTCCAACCAGCACCAATACTCACCCTTCAATGTTCAAATAGCTGGACGCAGGAGGCGGAGTGATGAGACACAGATGAGAACAACCCCCATTCAACGCCCCACAGGGGTTGCTGTAAGGCAGCTGCCTTAATGGGTGCATGATGTGGATGTCGTATGGTTTATGAGTGGTGTTTCGCAAAACTTGCAGATCTTTTCCTGTGAATTTATTGGCTCTCGATATGGCTTTCAAGTTCCAGTCGGTCCAGTAGACGAAATCGTCAAAGAGGCTGATGGCAAACACATGGGGAACAGCGCTGCCCGAAAGCACTATATGTCGATGGCGCCCCTCCAAGTCGGTGAAAGCTTCAAAACAACGGTTTAGGATAGAGACGGACGTTGAACCATCAGGGCTTACCGATGTAGTCCAAGTGGGCATCAGCAAAGTAGAGCTTGTCGGTGAAGAAATCTATTGTAAGCGCGTTCGGCCAGGCAATGTCATCATTCCAGGTCAGGATCCTTGTAAAGTTCGACCCATCCATCCCCAGTTTACCAATGTAGGCCTGCAGATGCCAGCAGGTGAAGTACAAGTAGCCAGTTCCTGGATGTACCACCAAAGCTCTTGGGTCTGCAATGCCAGTTTTCAGCGTTTTCCTGTTGCTGCCGCTCAGCTCGGCCACGTCCAGGTTTTTCGAGTGGCGATCCAACCTGCAATTGAAAATGTTAATCGGGAACATTCTTCACTCGCCCTGGTTCTCAGCTGCTCATACCAATAGATCTTCCTGCCAATCCAATCAATGGAAATACCCTCCAAGCCGTGCGAATCGTGCCTTATCACAGCCTCTCGCTCTGTTGAACCAATGGGGGTTCGGAAGATCGTTTTGGCTGTCACATCGCAGAAGTACATCTTCTGGTCCAAGTAGTCAAAGTCCAAGGCAACGACATTCATCAGGTCCTGATGCACCAGGTTGTACACCTAAACAAGCGCTAGTAGAAACAGGTGGGGATTCACAGCAAAAACTAGCTACCGTTGAGTCTATCGACATGTTTCGGATGTAGTACTTGTTGGTGAAGATCAGCCAAGGCTCAATCTTGTCCTTTCTCTTGCACGTGTGCTCATCGGCCTCTCTTTCATAGAACTGGTCGTTGCATTTGCAGTAGAAGCTGCCTGGGGTGTTGGAGCAGTACTGCGAGCAAACGCCCGGCGTCTCGATGCATTCGTCCACATCTGTGCAGGCTTTTCCGTCTTGCAACAGTCTATATAGCAGGAAGTGATTAGAACAGCTACAGCTTATGCTGCTTGCTACACAGCGGTTTTAGACAAATTTGCCTTAGTTAATGGTTTCGGAAGGTATTGCCACCAAAAAACGATGTTTGAAAACTCAAAAAATCTGATGTTTTAAATGGCTAAATGTTTTTTGCGCTTCTAAACAAAAAGTTTGGGCTTAATACTCGACGGTTCAAAAGATGACGGTGTCGTCGGCCTATCGAATAGCGCGTATCAATCAATTCATCTTTGATCTTCTGAGCCTCAGAGTTCAAAGGCCGCCCACAACATGACCAGGTCGACTGCACAAGGAAGAACATTAACTCCTGTTTATTACGATATTTGACTTTTAAAGTATGCTGAATAATTGCAGTTATAGAATGATTCACTGTTGAAAGACCTCGATCAGTTTTTCATGCATTGGAACCACTGCCTTCATCTTCCACCACAAGATTTCCACAATCAGTAGAAGTCTGATGAAAATGAAGAAAATGATGTAAAATTTGAGTAATTTTGAGAAAATTTAAATTGGAAAAATTTCACCATTGGAAAAATTTCGGGCAAAAATCAAAATTTCACATGCGCGTTTTTTGGGCTCAATCGATTCCTTTCGACGCAAGAAGGTGACAAATATGCATTTATAAAGTGTTTGATCAAAAATGAGGATCAAGTCGTCTGCTAAAGATCGTGAACCCTCAAAAAATGCTTAAAATATGCCGAAAATTACTAGTATTTCGGATCTGAAAGTTCTAGCATGTTTTTCAATGAGTTCGATGCATTCTTCGAGTAGGTGAGCTGAGAATGATGTAAAATTAAAGCCATTTTAAGAAAATTTAATTTTTTTCAAAAAAACCTTGGAAAAATTTGGGGCAAAAATCAAAATTTTACATGCGCGTTTTTTGAGCTCAATCGATTCCTTTCGACGCAAGAAGGTCACAAATATGCATTTATAAAGTGTTTGATCAAAAATGAGGATGAAGTCGTCTGCTAAAGATCGTGAACCCTCAAAAAATGCTTAAAATATGCCGAAAATGACTAGTATTTCGGATCTGAAACTTCTAGCATGCTTTTCAATGAGTTCGATGCATTCTTCGCGTAGGTGAGCTGAAAATGATGTAAAATTTAAGTCATTTTTAAAAAATTTAATTTTTTTCAAAAATCGACCTCCAACCTTGGAAAAATTTCGGTCAAAAATCAAAATTTCACATGCGCGTTTTTTGAGCTCAATCGTCCTTTCGACGTAAGAAGGTCACAAATACGCATTTATAAAGGGTTTGGGTCAACAATAAAGAAGAATTCGTCAGTTTAAAACTGTGAACTGTCCCTCCTTCTTCGATAATCACTTCAGAAAACTGTCGTTTCCCATCACAATTGCAACATCCTGCATGTTACCAAACCCATTTATTCCATACCGAGAAGTGCTTTTTTTATTCGTTAATTGCCCTGTAAGGTGAAGGCCGGCAGGTTGATTACAGAACGAATTCTGGTTCCTCGTGAGGCGATTTCGATGAACTTTGCATTCTAGAATGAATGATGAGCGGTGCCCAGCACCAGATTTCGTCTTACAAACGTGCACGATTTTGGCATGCTGATTTATTATGTAGATCAGTTTCGTATTGTATTGTTGGTATCAGATCATTATCGAAAGGTTGCTTCTCACGCGCAAAATATTCGAAAATTTGATCGTTTCGGGGTGAGGACGATTTGAAACTGCTGGCCTTCTTTGAAGCTTTCAGCCCCCAATCAAGGGAAATATTGAAAATGGAACCTCATGTGAACAGCATAATGTAAAAGGTTTTCTTCAAGATCGGCCGGAAACAACTTGACATTCAAATATATCGAGAATGATGCTCAACAGTGTTAGAAAATAGGGTTCTGTTTGTTCAATTTCTCCATTTGGTAGGGGCATCAGCAAAACCCATACAGGCTGTCGACACATCCCGAAAACCCGCGAAATAAATAATAAAAGGAAAACACTGTGGCCCCGTTACGTGTTAGCTGCAATATGTTACAGAGCCCCGTCTTTGTTCCTCTATGGAACATTAAGTTTTCCTCTTCCCTTTTGTGGGCGGTCGAACCCGCAGAAATGCATGTTTCATCGCATCTGCACAACTTACACCTACAGTGGGAGGAAACTAACTGAACATCCAATCAAAAGGCTGCTACTTTCTCCTCTTTTCTACCAATGTAATTGTGGACAATCTACACAAAGGACGAAAATTAGTAGAACGAACGTGCAACCAAGCAAGCACTCGATATGCTAAGGACACAACAGTTCTAATAGTTTACTATTCTGAAACTGATAGTGGTGTCAACTATTGGTGTGGATTATTGTTCAGACGTAAAATCAAGAAGCTGCTCCAAAGTGGCGAGCTGAGCCGGCACCTGAGAGATCGGATGCTGCAAAAATGCAGAAAGGCTCAGAGATCCTACATGAAGTGAAAGCTTTTTCACAGTGCAAAACTGCAATATCTAGGACACATGAGAGGTCCAAAACATGAGAGTCTGTAACTCACATCCAGGGCAAAATTGTCGAAAATATATCTAGTCTTTCCAAGTAAGAATGAATTGCAATGTGAGCCAACTACAGGGGCATTAAAAAACATTAATCCAATGTCTTACTTGTATCCCTGATTGCACTCGCAATAATATCCGGTGAGTGTGTCGATGCACTTGTGGCCACATTGATGAATTTCCACCTTAGCGCACTCATCCACATTGCAATGGGCCGGTTCATCCGACTCGTCAGTGCAATCGGCTACTTTGTTGCACACCAAGTGGCCGTCGATGCACTGGCCATTGTTGCATCGGAACTGCGAAGAAATCGCACAAGTGGCGTTCTCCTTTCTGCAATTCACCTCATCCGAATGGTCGCCACAGTCATCTTCGCCGTCGCATCGGTACTGGTTCCGGATGCACTTGAAGTTCTGGCAGGTGAACTCATTGGTGCTGCACGTCTTGTACTGGCTGTTGCACTCTTTTCCTTCATCGCTGCCATCCCCGCAGTCGTTGTCGTGGTCGCACGTCCAGCCGGTGTTGATGCAACGTCCATTTCCGCACGTGAATTGATCTTCTGTGCATGGTTGAGGGCTGGCGCAGTGATGGAGCGTCCCGTTTTCATCAGCTCCATCCACACAGTCCGGATCTCCATCGCAAAGCCATTTCTTGGGGATGCACTGGGCTCGGCCCCACGCCTTGTTTGCTTCGCATGTGAACTCGTTTTCTTCGTCGCACTTTCTGTCGTTGCATTCATGCCGGTTGTCTTCGTCGCTGTTGTCGAGACAATCGTTGTCGCCATCGCAAATGTAGATTCGGGGCACGCAGTTTCCATTGTCGCAAGTGAACAAATCCCCAAAGCAGGTGCGTCCGTCGCTCTTGCAATATTCCGGGGGCTCATCGGCGGCGTCTCCACAGTCGTCGTCCCCATCGCAGTACCACGTAGCTGGGATGCAACGGTGATTGGAGCATCTGAAGCTGTTCTGAGGGCAGGTTCGCTGGGCGCAGTGCAACGGGTTCTCGTCTGAGTTGTCGCCACAGTCATTATCGCCATCGCACAGCCAGTAGGGCTCCACGCAGATGTTGGTGTTTGTGCATTTGAGGTGCTTGGGCGGACAGGTGGTGTTGTGGCCGCATCTACACCAGCAGCAGCAACAATCAAGCCTTTTCCATTGAAATAATAGCAAGCAATTACCGTTCATGAGTCTCATCGGAGGTGACGTTGTCTTTGCAGTCATTAACACCATTGCACACCTGAGCCATTGGAATACATCGGTGATTCAAGCAGGTGAACTCGCCATCGGCACATGGTGGATAGTTGCAGTTTTCCTCGTCGGATCCATCTTTGCAGTCGTTCTCGTGGTCGCACTTCCACGACTTGAAGATGCAGCGGCCGTTGTTGCAGCGGAACTCGTTAGGCGAACAGGAATGGAACGCTGAAGATCATCCGGGTGTTAATTGGCTGATTCGAATTAGTGGGGCTTACCGCAGTAGTTGGTGTCTTCGTCGGAATTGTCGCCGCAGTCATCTTCGCCGTCGCATGCCCACATCCTGGAGATGCAGCGGCCGTTTCGGCAGTAGAACTTGCTGGAGTCGCAAGTTAAGTTCTTCGATACGCACATTCGTCCTTCGTTCACTAGTTTGGTGTTGTCGTCGCACCTGTGGAACAAGAGTTGGCTCTAGCTGAAGCAGCTCAATGGAATGAGGCAGACTTACCGACACTCCGGCTTGCCATTGGGACTGGGATGGCAACTCTGGGCACATCCTCCGTTATTAATCAGGCAAGGATTCACATTGCATAGTTGCCGCTTAGGCGAATACACCTGGATATCTCGGGGACTGTCCTCCAGGCGTTTAACCTGCAAGTTCATTTGTGGTCAGAAGGAAAACTTTCTGGGACTCCCAGTACCATTTCGATCATGTTGGCACCAGTATGTTTCTCCGCTCTGTACACGCCGCGAAGCTGCAAATCGGTCCAGTAAATGTAGTCACCAAACACAGTAATAGAAAACGGATAAATAGTGGCAGCCACCAAGATCTCCCGGTTTTTCCCGTCCAGGTCACTTCGCTCAATCTTCTCTCGCACTGCGTCAGTCCAGTAGAGCATTCGCTCATCAAAGTCGATGGCCAGACCACTGGGCTGCGCCAACTTCTTGTCGATCACCACTCGCTTGAGCGACCCAGCCATGGTAGTCCGAAGGATTTTGCCAGCTGCTCCAAACTTACCCCAGTCCGTATAGAACAGGGTGCCTACACGATAATGTATATCAAAATCAAGCATAAAAAATAGAAACTAGTGGGTTTTAGGCAGTTGTAAAATGGAATTTCTTCCTGACGTTTCGCAAGCACGAGTGGCTTGCATCCTCAGCGGTGGCTTGCTTGAACGTTTACACTGATCAGAGCAATTTTCGAATTTGCTAACGTTGACTCCCTTTTTCGCGCCGGAAACCGAACAATTTTTCTCTGAGCGAAATTGCCGGAAAACACGGAAACTTTCGAGTCTAACGTGTCGAGTTTCCTGCAGAGTTTCACATCCAACACAAACGAAAGCCGGCAAACGACTGAACTGAGAAATTCGCTCTGCTGTTTTTTACCTTTCTCTAACTCTCCACAACGTTTCTGAAGGATAATCTCCACTCGTTCACCTCTCCTTCTCACTCTGCTTCGTTGCATATTCGGCTGGCACCATGGACTTAATAAGTGGTACCTGCACGGTTCACATAAGGTTCCCGTTGATGAATCCAATGATCGGAAAATGTTTTCGAAACGATTCGCTGTGTGTTTAAACAGGTAAATTCTGCTTTGGTACCGCCGGTCTCTGTCTGCTGGTTCTGGGTTCGTTTTGGATCACAATAGGAGAATTGATAAGACTCTAATGTATTCTTGTACCGGGCGAACCAAAGTACCA